CATTGGTATAATGAAGGAAGACTTTGATTTTCTTGAATGAAAAAAATTTTGAAAATTTTGAACTTAATGTTTATTCCTTTTTGTGGAAAAAATGTAGGAAAAATGAAATGCTGTCAAGAATTGATAAAATGTGAGCAGAAGGGAAGAACATATGCAAAGTAAATGTGTGCAAAAATATAAAAAAAAGATAATTTGGATTTGATGTTACCCTGTTTTCCTTTTTTCTTCTTTTTATTTAGTATATTTTTACCCGTGTTTTGTCACATCATCATAATATTTTGTCACATCACCGTACAATTAACGTCGTTACTAAAAAATCACTTTTTTAAAGTGACGATCAAATAGATACACCTGAAAGTAGGACTGGTATACCTAACTAAATTATACTAAATTATAGTTAACTATAATCTAAGAAAACTAAACTACTAATATAATATATAAAATGTATTATTTAAGAGTTTAGTTTTAAAAAATCTTAACTTATATAAATGAATTTATATTAATTAACTAATAACTGAATTAATGCACTGTGCCACAAGATTGGTAAAAAAAGTGTTTGTTTTTGTTAGAAATAATAATACTTTTTTGGAAGTGTTGACTTGGTTGGGTTAGAAGAACTCATTACAATATTTCTTGTTTTTCTGTTCAAAATTTTCACGTAATCTTTATTGCACATATTTTATTTAGGTAAATATTATTCTTTGTTTTTATCTTTTAAAATAAATTATATATGGTCAGACTTTATATAGATTATATAAAATATTATTTCTATCAAATGTTGTGTGCATAATATAATTTTGGGTTAAATATGTTTTTAGTCCCTAAACTATTGGCCGTTTCTGGTTTTCGTCCCTCTTCCAAAGTAAGGTACAATTTGGTCCTCATTCTTTAGAAAAACGTTCGTTTTAGTCCTCAAAATTTTGTTTTTAGTCCTCGTTTTAGTCCTCAAAACGTTCGTTTTTTCGATTAAAACGAACGTTTTTTAAAGATTGAGGACTAAATTGTACCTTACTTTGGAAGAGGGACGAAAACCAGAAACGGTCAATAGTTTAGGGACTAAAAACATATTTAACCCTATAATTTTTACATGTTATCTTTTAAAAAATTCATATTTAACCGAAATTATTTATCAGAAGTTAATATAATTTCAAGAATAGATCTAATTATTTGAAGTTTGTTTTATTTAAAAGTTTACTCTTAAACCCAGGAAATATTTTAGATTTATTTCAAACCTTATTAAATAAAAAATTAAATAAATTTATAATATTTTTTATAAAAAAATTATTAAAATTAACATATAATTCTAATAATTAATTTATAATATTTTTTATAAAAAAATTATTAAAATTAACATATAATTATAATAAATTTTATTTATTTTTGTTTTTTCTCTATGTTTTTATTCTTTTTTCTATTTTTCTTTCTTCAAAACTTGAGTCTAACTCTCAGAAAAAACATGTTTAGTTTAATGATAAATTATTCTTACAAAATATAAAATATATTTAACTTTTTACCTTTAAAATATATTTGTCTCACAACCTTTCATTTTCTTTTATATCATAAATTATAAAGACAAATTAGATATCTTATTTAGTTTATCCGTAAAACATAAATTTTTAAATAATTTGAAAGAAATATATATATATATATATATATATATATATATATATATATATATATATATAACCCTTTTATTTTTAACTATAATACTATATAATACAATATATTCAAAATATTTATGGTTAAGAATAATTTCATGTCAATTTTTATCTTTTTAATAAAATAAAATTAAAAATTATAAGATTAAATAATAGATAATGGATAATGATTAAATAATCAATGTTGAATAATTTATATTGCCATGTTAAAACTTAAATGATTTTGAACCAATAACTATTAAGAAAGTAAAATGTAACATCCCAAAAATACAATATAAACTATATAATAAAATAATTACATTTAATAATAATTCAGATCGGTCTTACATTAAAAAGAGCGTACGGTTATGGCCGAACGGCCTTACAGAAAGAGTTACAAACTTAAACTGTACAGCAGTACAAAACTAACCGAACGATTTACAAAATAATATACCGATCGGTCATACATAACAAAAGGGGAAGGTGATCGAACGACCACCTCACTACCAAAAACTAAACTACTGACCGAACGTTCTATTGTTCGGTCTTAACTTCAAACTCGACCAAATTTTCTTCTTCCAGCGCATCTTCCAATAGCTCACCCCCTTCTGCTCACATCCACACGGATGATCATTGCAACGACAAGACGAACGTACAAAACAAGACACGACAGGAAATACAGGGTAAGCTTATGAAATTTAATTTAGGCATAAACATACATTTCCAACAATCCAACACACAAAATAAATTTCATCATACATATCATACAAAGCCTATTACTAGACTGACTGTCCGGACTGTATGAAGTCTGTGTAGCTACAGGCGTTTGTGCACCCGGGTGATGTAGTAACTGGGATGCCCTCAACAGCTGCCACCTGAGGTTAGTCCTATCTGTCCAAAGTACCCCTAAGGACTAGGACCTCCTGCCATTCCCACACATGACCTACCCTCTTCTACGTGAAGACAAGTACTCACGGAACATCAGGATGAACAGCCAACTTAGCATGCCCACAGTCATACTTTACAAATTCAATAATCATTCATGAGTCGTTCCTCCCCGGAACGCTCGTCCATAATCCACAACATTTCTATCCATATCATATTCTCGTATCTTTCATTATTATTCATCTCACTTAAACATTTTTCACGACGATCCGTAAGGGTACTTAATACCGAACGTTCAACACTGATTTAGAATGAGACCGAACCCTTGAAGCGAGACTAAGAAGTCTTCAGTTCCATAAGGGATTTAGACTAAAGGGTATTGTCGGGTTGAGAAAGAAACCGAGTAAAATCAATTATCACAATAAACGAATGGAACAAGCGTTATTTAAAAGTGAGTCAATTAGATGAACTGACTTTTGAGGACTTCAACCGAACATCGAAATGACCATGCCCAGTACTATGGCTCTATGCTGTAACCAATGGATACAGACACTTCGAGACTTTCCAAGAAGAAGACATAGGATAATTCCCATGAAGAAACCGAACGCTTATGAAAACTTAGCTTAATTGAGTTTAGTATCAAGAAATCCGAATGACAGTCAAAGACTGAACACTATATTGAGCGAACCCTAGTGGGCTTGAACGTCTTATTATGAAGTTTAGCTTAAGAAGCTAGAACGAGTGCCTGGTGTAAGACCAAACACTTGCTTAGGACGAACACTTAGTATAAGACCTAGTGCTACTAAATTTAAAGAGAAGAGGTTTGATAAATATACTAAAATAATATTGGAGTAGTGTTTAAGAATAACTAAAATATACAAATACGTATAGAGATATATATACTTAAGCTTATCACGGAATACCAAGACGCAACTATACTTGGTCGAACGCCAAAGCATAGTATTACAACACGAAGACGCTCGTCCTCAACTAGGATTCTTCCCAAATGAAAGAATCCAATTCTAACCAAGTTCACTTAGAAAACCGAACGGTCAAAGATCGTTCAGTAACGAACGTACACTTTCATAGGAGAATTTCACACTTAGGAATCATTTATCTCAATTCAATTTCTCAACATTTAACTACATAAGTTCATACATCTATATCATATCAATTTCATATATTTCGTACATCAGAACATAGCACAACCATATTTCATTTCCAGTCATCAAATCAACGAACGTTCATACAGTATAGTAAACATACAGATTAAATTAAATAAGCTTCCCTTACCTCTAGTGTGAACGATCGTCCTAGAGGCAGAAATACAGTTCACCACTACCGGTTCTTCTACTCTCAATGCTCGACAATTTTTCAACTAAACCAAGAAAATCAAAACACTCTCAGAACTACCCATTTGAAGAATAGCGATCAACACAGAAAACCAGAACTGGATTTGCATGCCTAGGAAAACGAACGATTGGGTGAAGAGAAGGACTTACCAGCTCAGCTTCACAAACCGAACGGTTTAACTTGAAGCTCTTGACGCCGGAAGTACTTCTACGGTGTCTGAATGATGATCGGAGAAGAGAAAGGGTGAGTTTTTTTAGAGAGAAGATGGAGAAGATGTAGTGAGAAGGAGGAGAAAAAAAGATTTTTCAGAATCTGGGAAGAAGGGTGCATGCAGAGAGTGAGACAGCAGTTTTCAAAAAATCAGTTTTGCTTCCCTCGTCAAAACGAGCGTCCGCTCATCTGATGACACCTGTCTTCCACTATCTGATTTCCAGATCCTCGTTGCTTGACACCTAGCGTCCGTTCAGAGGGGTTTTGGGTGAGTTTTTAATGATTCTGACATAAAACATGGAAAATCAAAGACTATTGATAAAAATTAGATAGTAAGGATAAGTAATAATTCAAAATTATAATTATAGGAATTAAATAAAATATACAAATGTAGAATAAAATGTTATATCTCTTTATATATTTGTATACATAATACAAATTTTAATTTATACATAATGTATAGATATTAATAACCTTGAACACATATTTATAGATAATGGAAAAAATATTAAGTGTTAGTATTTTATAGTTACAAAAATTGAACTTTCTCTGGTTGGAATAATTGGAGATCAGGAGTAATGGAAAAACCATAATTGGAGACGAAAGAATAATGAAAAAACCATCAATACAGTTCTCAAATAATTAACTGAACTGAAAATCATTTAACTTCAGTTATTGAACTACAAAATAGTATATTTAGTTTTTAGTAAAGTTGAATTAGTTTTATAAGGACTATCTAACAATTAAACCTAATTTTTTTTACTCGATACAAAAAGTTAAAACATTAGTATTATAAAGGACTATTTACCTGATTATTTTTTCCACTGCAGTCAGGCACGAACTAGTAAAACGACAAAGCAATGGGGTCGTTTCGCTTATCACCTTTTACTGGATCCACCAAGCCGTAGACCCCACTCACACTTGCCGCATTTTCACGGCAGAAGCCAAGGTCAGAAGCCAAAGTGTTAAAAAAAGAAGCGTTACAAACGGGCAAAAGGCACTGGGAGCTCCACCAAGGCACCATGGACAGCCGAAACGTCGTTGTTTGCGACAACGGAACCGGGGTACTTCTCTTCTCTCTCGTACCTTTGCATTTGATTGGAACGGATCTTGCAAAATACGCTGAATTAGTGCAACATTTGCACTTCCACGATCTGAATGGTGTTATATTTCTGAAATCACTTTTGTTCTTAATATATGTGAATGCAGTATGTGAAGTGTGGATTTTCTGGGGAGAATTTCCCCACATCGGTCTTTCCTTGTGTAGTGGGAAGGCCGATGCTCCGTTACGAAGAATCACTTACCGAGCAAGAGGTTAAGGTAATCTAAACTCAATATCTCACTGTCAAACCTTATTATAAGAGGTTGTTGTTGTTGCAAGATTTTATTATTATCATTATTATTATTTATAACGATGATGATTTGGATGATTGTGATGATCTTATGAAATTAGATTGGTTGTTTGTGTTGTGTTTAGGATATTGTTGTTGGCGAAAGTTGTGCAGACTTGCGGCATCAGCTTGATGTATCTTATCCTGTGAACAACGGCATAGTGCAAAATTGGGATGATATGTGTCATATATGGGATCATGCATTTTACAATGAATTGAAGGTGACTCTCGGGGCTTGTTTCTGAATTTTCTTTCAACTATTGTTGCTTTCTCTCGGTAATTCGTTTCATTTTGACAGATTAACCCTCCAGACTGTAAGATTCTACTCACGGATCCGCCTCTCAATCCTTCCAAGAATCGTGAAAAAATGGTTTGCTTACTGATTCCGTTGCTTTCCTTTGAAAAAAATAAATAAATAAAATAATCTTATATATAATTATTGAATTCTATCAAGGTAAAAGTCTTTTTGTATCCTTATCCAATCATAAATTACTTTATGTAGTAAGAGTGTGACTTTTATACAGTTACTTTAAAAATGGTATTCAATTTAATTTCTAATCAGTTGACAATGTAAAAATCTTTATATAGGCAGAGGATGAAAATTAAATTCTTAGTTATAATATTGTTGTTTTATGCTATTTGGCTTGGCAGGTCGAGATGATGTTTGAGAAGTACAATTTTGCTGGAGTGTTTATCCAAATCCAAGCTGTTCTAACATTATATGCTCAAGGTGCTTATAGAGATGAGTGAAGGTTGATGTTTTGTTTTTCTGTTATCTCAGTCTAATTGTAGTTTACTCCCATGAGTCTTATTGAACATTTTTGAAAATTACCGACTCTCTTTATAACATTTATTTATTTATAAACTTTAGTTGTTCATACTCTGTTATAATTACACACCATATTTAGTGAAATTACATATCATAACTTGTAAGAACTTCTTTGTGACACGAGGAGTGTTTTTTTTTTCATCAACATGTGTTCTCTGGAAAACTCGCTCTTCCTTCTCCAACATGTGCTCACTTTGTGCCATCTTTCAGCTTGCACTTTAACATTTCTTTACTTGTCTCAGGTTTGTTGACTGGATTAGTTATTGACTCCGGTGATGGTGTCACTCATGTGGTAATTAATTAGCTTCTGTGCCTCTTAATTGTTATGGTGACCACTATAATGACACTAGGTTTTGTCTATTTGTTTCAATCTCACTTTTTTCCTTCTTTGTACAGTGCTTTTTGCTACAGTCATTTTTTACATAATGTCAGTTGTATATAAATATTATGATGCCAAACCTTACAACCTTGTTCCCTTGTTGATTTTTATAACAAATCTTAATTTGAATTGGGCACAGTAACTAAATCAAAAGTCGTACCTCTCTCTAAAGAATGTTATATTTTGCAAAGTTGGTGCTGATTAAGCTTATTCGATTCTAATTTTGAATGCATGTCATTGTTGCATTTATGTGAATATCATATTTGGCTTCTTTCAATTCAGTGCATGAATTTTATCATTAGTTTGTTTAGCATTGTTCATATTTTTGGATTGGATTGCTAATTTATTTGTTATATATATAATGTAATTTTATAAATATTACTTCTTGAATGAAAGCTTTAAATTCCATGGTGGATTTGTGAGCTTGTGCTCAAAATAATTTTTAAATAGTGTTAAAACAGAATGGTCATCTACACTAGCGTTGGTTGATTAGAATCCTAAATATATGTATATTGTTGTTATTACAATGAATTTGTTGAAAAAATCTAAATTAGAATCAGTATTATGCTAGTGAATGACTTTTTTTGTAACCTCATTTCTTGAAATCCGCCACTCATTGAAAGCTTGTACCATTTGTAACATTGCCATAACATTTTACATTAACTAGTACGCTTATGTACTCTGTCAACTTATATTGAATTATACTTTTCAGATAAAGAAACCAACTATTTTCTTGCATGCTTATAGCTTAATTATTCTAAAGTTTGCTGAGTGATTTTAATTCAACAGCTAGATTAATAGCCAATTTCTATTATATGATAATAAATGAAGAAACAGTAACTTCACTTATCAGACAATGGTTTCTAATCTTCCAAGAGGCACCAATTGTATTAAAGTACCCCAAAGTAAGTATAATCATATACTGTTTGATCACAGTCTTAGAGCCTCAGACTACCAGAAATCTCTCCAAATTCTCTTTACCCCCTATCCCCTCATGCTCATTAGTGTAAGTTTTTTCCAATTTCCATCAATGACCCCATAATCATGCTGATAGAACTTGATCAGATTGCAAGGAAATGGAAATTTTTTTATTGGGATACAACTCCCCTGTCCAATGGACAACGGGAACAAGATGATCTTGATCTTCAGAGGAAAGAAAATAACTACAATCTCTACAGGAGTATTCAGAACTCAAAAAGCCCTGCTCAATCTCCCCCACTCTGTTTCAAATCCCAACTAAATTGCTCTGTCACAAATTCCCTTCTTTTAATTCCTAATCTGTCTGTTTCTCTCTACTGTGACAGAGTAGTGCATTACAATTTTCACATTTGTGTGCTGACAGTAGTCATTATTACTGTTTTCACTGCTGTTTATCTTGTTTCACTTATACCCCTTTAATGGGAGGTCTAACACATCCCTCATTTATCATTTTGTCACATTGCCTTCTACTTTGGAACCCTGTTCTCTGCACTAAATGAATTCTCCACTATTTCATTAATTACAATTCCTCCACCATCCCTTATGCTTTCATTGTCGATATTAACCCAACTTCCTCCACTCTGGACCCATCATGTTTCCTTTTTCTTTCATATACATGGGTTAGCAGCTATTAGTACATGTATATCGAGCATATAAACAATACATTTGAAGGGATTCACCACCTTGTAGTGGCCGTTTAAATAAGGCTAAATAATTGGATTGTTATTTAAAGGTCCTACAACTGAGAAAGGAGAGCTTGAATCACAACTCANTTAACCGAAATTATTTATCAGAAGTTAATATAATTTCAAGAATAGATCTAATTATTTGAAGTTTGTTTTATTTAAAAGTTTACTCTTAAACCCAGGAAATATTTTAGATTTATTTCAAACCTTATTAAATAAAAAATTAAATAAATTTATAATATTTTTTATAAAAAAATTATTAAAATTAACATATAATTCTAATAATTAATTTATAATATTTTTTATAAAAAAATTATTAAAATTAACATATAATTATAATAAATTTTATTTATTTTTGTTTTTTCTCTATGTTTTTATTCTTTTTTCTATTTTTCTTTCTTCAAAACTTGAGTCTAACTCTCAGAAAAAACATGTTTAGTTTAATGATAAATTATTCTTACAAAATATAAAATATATTTAACTTTTTACCTTTAAAATATATTTGTCTCACAACCTTTCATTTTCTTTTATATCATAAATTATAAAGACAAATTAGATATCTTATTTAGTTTATCCGTAAAACATAAATTTTTAAATAATTTGAAAGAAATATATATATATATATATATATATATATATATATATATATATATATATATAACCCTTTTATTTTTAACTATAATACTATATAATACAATATATTCAAAATATTTATGGTTAAGAATAATTTCATGTCAATTTTTATCTTTTTAATAAAATAAAATTAAAAATTATAAGATTAAATAATAGATAATGGATAATGATTAAATAATCAATGTTGAATAATTTATATTGCCATGTTAAAACTTAAATGATTTTGAACCAATAACTATTAAGAAAGTAAAATGTAACATCCCAAAAATACAATATAAACTATATAATAAAATAATTACATTTAATAATAATTCAGATCGGTCTTACATTAAAAAGAGCGTACGGTTATGGCCGAACGGCCTTACAGAAAGAGTTACAAACTTAAACTGTACAGCAGTACAAAACTAACCGAACGATTTACAAAATAATATACCGATCGGTCATACATAACAAAAGGGGAAGGTGATCGAACGACCACCTCACTACCAAAAACTAAACTACTGACCGAACGTTCTATTGTTCGGTCTTAACTTCAAACTCGACCAAATTTTCTTCTTCCAGCGCATCTTCCAATAGCTCACCCCCTTCTGCTCACATCCACACGGATGATCATTGCAACGACAAGACGAACGTACAAAACAAGACACGACAGGAAATACAGGGTAAGCTTATGAAATTTAATTTAGGCATAAACATACATTTCCAACAATCCAACACACAAAATAAATTTCATCATACATATCATACAAAGCCTATTACTAGACTGACTGTCCGGACTGTATGAAGTCTGTGTAGCTACAGGCGTTTGTGCACCCGGGTGATGTAGTAACTGGGATGCCCTCAACAGCTGCCACCTGAGGTTAGTCCTATCTGTCCAAAGTACCCCTAAGGACTAGGACCTCCTGTCTTTCCCATACATGACCTACCCTCTTCTACGTGATGACTAGTACTCACGGAACATCAGGATGAACAGCCAACTTAGCATGCCCACAGTCATACTTTACAAATTCAATAATCATTCATGAGTCGTTCCTCCCCGGAACGCTCGTCCATAATCCACAACATTTCTATCCATATCATATTCTCGTATCTTTCATTATTATTCATCTCACTTAAACATTTTTCACGACGATCCGTAAGGGTACTTAATACCGAACGTTCAACACTGATTTAGAATGAGACCGAACCCTTGAAGCGAGACTAAGAAGTCTTCAGTTCCATAAGGGATTTAGACTAAAGGGTATTGTCGGGTTGAGAAAGAAACCGAGTAAAATCAATTATCACAATAAACGAATGGAACAAGCGTTATTTAAAAGTGAGTCAATTAGATGAACTGACTTTTGAGGACTTCAACCGAACATCGAAATGACCATGCCCAGTACTATGGCTCTATGCTGTAACCAATGGATACAGACACTTCGAGACTTTCCAAGAAGAAGACATAGGATAATTCCCATGAAGAAACCGAACGCTTATGAAAACTTAGCTTAATTGAGTTTAGTATCAAGAAATCCGAATGACAGTCAAAGACTGAACACTATATTGAGCGAACCCTAGTGGGCTTGAACGTCTTATTATGAAGTTTAGCTTAAGAAGCTAGAACGAGTGCCTGGTGTAAGACCAAACACTTGCTTAGGACGAACACTTAGTATAAGACCTAGTGCTACTAAATTTAAAGAGAAGAGGTTTGATAAATATACTAAAATAATATTGGAGTAGTGTTTAAGAATAACTAAAATATACAAATACGTATAGAGATATATATACTTAAGCTTATCACGGAATACCAAGACGCAACTATACTTGGTCGAACGCCAAAGCATAGTATTACAACACGAAGACGCTCGTCCTCAACTAGGATTCTTCCCAAATGAAAGAATCCAATTCTAACCAAGTTCACTTTTAAAACCGAACGGTCAATGATCGTTTTGTTACGAACGTACACTTTCATATGTGAATTTCATACTTAGTAATCATTTATCTCAATTCAATTTCTCAACATTTAACTACATAAGTTCATACATCTATATCATATCAATTTCATATATTTCGTACATCAGAACATATCACAACCATATTTCATTTCCAGTCATCAAATCAACGAACGTTCATACAGTATAGTAAACATACAGATTAAATTAAATAAGCTTCCCTTACCTCTAGTGTGAACGATCGTCCTAGAGGCAGAAATACAGTTCACCACTACCGGTTCTTCTACTCTCAATGCTCGACAATTTTTCAACTAAACCAAGAAAATCAAAACACTCTCAGAACTACCCATTTGAAGAATAGCGATCAACACAGAAAACCAGAACTGGATTTGCATGCCTAGGAAAACGAACGATTGGGTGAAGAGAAGGACTTACCAGCTCAGCTTCACAAACCGAACGGTTTAACTTGAAGCTCTTGACGCCGGAAGTACTTCTACGGTGTCTGAATGATGATCGGAGAAGAGAAAGGGTGAGTTTTTTTAGAGAGAAGATGGAGAAGATGTAGTGAGAAGGAGGAGAAAAAAAGATTTTTCAGAATCTGGGAAGAAGGGTGCATGCAGAGAGTGAGACAGCAGTTTTCAAAAAATCAGTTTTGCTTCCCTCGTCAAAACGAGCGTCCGCTCATCTGATGACACCTGTCTTCCACTATCTGATTTCCAGATCCTCGTTGCTTGACACCTAGCGTCCGTTCAGAGGGGTTTTGGGTGAGTTTTTAATGATTCTGACATAAAACATGGAAAATCAAAGACTATTGATAAAAATTAGATAGTAAGGATAAGT